CCGAAGGGACAGCAGCTGTGGCCTCCTGCGGGCCTGGAGCCCTGGCCCTCCCTCCCTGACCCGGGCAGCGGGGAGAGCCGGGATGCTGGCCCGGCGCCCACAAGCAGAGCTGAGTGTTGGCCTGAGGTCCTCGGAGACCTGTGGTCTCCCTGCAGCTCAGTGAGGCTTGGCCCCTGCTGCCGCAGGGCCACGAAGCCCCCAGCCCTCCGTCTGAGGCCACGACTTTTTGGCCATCAATCCGGGAAGGCCCGGGAGCAGCGTTACGGCTGCTGTGGGTCTGGGCCTCATCCTGGCCAGCTTCCAGGAGTGGCCTGAGGGCCGGGCAGGTAGAGGCCAGGTCTCCACCCACTGCTCTGTCCACCCTGCCTGCTCTATCTCAAGGTAGAGAAAGCTCTCCCCTAGAGTCCACCTGGCCTGTTCTGTCCTGGGGTAGAGGATGCTGTCCCCTGGATCCCACCCTGCCTGCTCTGTCCTGGGGTGGAGGGTGCTGTCCCCTGGGTCCCACCCTGCCTGCTCTGTCCTCGAGGTGGAGGACGTGCCTCCCAGAGCCCACCGCTGGAGGGTTTCAGGGATACAGGCCCCTGAACGAGGGGACGCTGGGCTGGGCTGTGGTTGTCTGTCCGAGCACATGGCAGCCCTGGGGGAGGAAGTGGCTCCAGGTGCCTGTGCCATAGGGCCAGCCCGTCGGGCCTGGGGCTGTCTTGCCATGCGTGTTTTTAATTCACCCTCGTATGAAGTGCCCTGGGTTGATCTGGGGTTACAGAGGATGGCTCTCGTGATTTTACACCCATCTGCACGATCCAGGCAGGATTGGGGTGTTCCTCACATGTCCTCTTGTCCCTCTGCCTCCCGTCGCTGTCTGTGTGTGCAGGAGACCTTCTGGCGTACACGTTCTGGCGGTTTCTGTGCATGGTGTTGGTGTCCGCTGCACCTGTGTGGTGTACAGACCCATGTTTTGGGGATACCTGATGCACGCAGGTGGGGGCAGTGTCACGACATCGCTGAGAGGAGGCGACCGGGCAGGAGGGAGAAACCGTCTCAGACATCAGACAGGGCAAGCGTAATGTAAAGAGTTAATAACTGCGCTGAGACTCTAAGGTTCCCTCAGGCGGAGGGAGTCCCCAGGAAGGAGGACTTCGAAGGGCCGACACCTCTCGGTAGGTGTGGTTCAGCCTCTGGACAGCAGAGATGTCTGCGGTTCGGCCAGGCTGGAGCTGTCTGAGGACCCCGGGCAAGAAGGCGCTGCCCTGAGGCATGCAGGTGGGGCGTGAGATCCGGGGTGCGGGAGGGCATGTGTGGGCGTGTGGGCACCAGTGGGGCAGGAGGCCTGAGGCTCTGATGGGCTGCAGAGGAGTGGCAGCTTGGGGTGCACACCTCCCCCACCCCCATTCAGGGCTCTGGATTCCGGTGGATTTCTAGTGGATTGGGCTGCAGACAGGTAGAGACCACCCGATTGCAGAGGGACCATGCGCTGGGTCCCTCCTCCAGCGTGTCCCCCTAGCGCCCTCTGCTGAGAAAGCGGAGCCTCATGCTGGCCCCACAGGAGAAAGGCCTCCAGGGCTCCCCCTCCGCTCTACGGTCCTGAAGGCGCTGGTGAGGGCACCCTGAGAGGCGGCCTGTTGGTAGCTGTGCCCAGTGGTGGGTGCGGATTCATCGGACGGTTCCTCTGTGTTCATCTGTGTCCCTCTGCACTGGCCGTTGGGGCGGAGCCTGCAGCGAGGATGGTAGCATGTGCTGATGCCCGCCGCAGGGGCAGCTGCGCGGTGTGTGCAGAGAAGTTGAGGGTGGCGGCTTGGACCTCGTGGGACCTTCTGGAAAACAGCAGTGCCAGGAGCCTGGCGGCAGCTCGAGAGTCCCATGGGAAGAAGCAGATGACCTTGCAGACCGAGGCAGTCGTAGACTTGCAGCCGCAGAACCTCTCCACACGTGGCTCCAGCAGGCTTCGTGGTCCCGCACGCTGCCTCTGGAGTCGTGTGGGCTGGGCTCTGCTGGCTCCTTGCTCGGCGGAGGCTTCTTGAGATGGAGGCTTAGTGGGAATCTAGTCACGAAGGAGCAGTGCGTGCTGGCCAGCAGGTTATAGGACGCGTGGATCTCACGCCTGTAGGAACGGTGGGATCAGCCCAGAATAGTACCCGCTCAGACTTGGAAAGGGAAATAGCTGAGGACGTGCTGTCCATGTTTGTGTCACAAGAGCCCTTTGGCCCCCATGGCGGGCGGTGTCACCTGTTCACTTCCTCTTCTGGCTGCTGTGGAGGCGGCTGGTGTGGGATGGAGGTGGACACGGGCCGCCGCCTGCCGAGCATCCGCTGTTTCTCCGCTGCAGGGAACAGGGGCCTCTCGCAGGTTCTCTGCAGGCCTCCCAAGAAGGCCACCATGGCCCGGGCCCCCACGGGCACCATGTGCTTTGCAGGAGGAGGTGACTTCTTTCTGCACCCGGGGGCTAGCCTTGGCACGTGTGCCTGGAACCAGTTGTTGTGGCCTCGGGTGGGGGGGTCCCGCACAGTAATTGGGTGGGGTCAGGTGAGGGCGAGCCTGTCCCTGCAGCCAGCAGTGGGGCCAGGTGGAGTGGGTGAACTTAACTCCCTCCGTTTCCCTGCCCTCTTCTCATTGGGCATGTGCTCAGGGCATCATGGGATGGGCAGTCTCCTTGTACTCGGGCGCACGTCCTGTGGGGTTTCGGGAGCGAAGGTGGCCTGGCCAGGGCCGGTAGGCAGGTCCACGGCCCGGGCAGCCTGGCGTCCAGCCACGTGTTGGTTGGTTCCAGCCCCTGCGTAGTGTCCTTGCGTAGAGTGAGGACCAGCTATGCTCAGGGCCGGTCATGAGCTCTCCTGGGGGCTGGGCGGTTCCTTGTCTGCTCCTGGCCTCTCCCAGCACATGTGGATCCTCTGTCTTCCCTGACCGGCTCGGTCCCTGCAAGGCAGGAAGGCCTCACCCAGGTGCCTCCCGGTGGGCTGCGTGCGCACGTGCGGGATGGTGTGCGCCTGTATCTGTGCTCGTGCACACGTGTGCGTGGGTGTAACCTGGTGTCAGACCTCGTCTACATCCACAAGGAGGGATGAGAATGAGGATCGGCACGAAGCTGGTTCCTATGAGGTGGAGACACAGCTCCACTCTCCAGCTTCTTGACCGTTTCTGACACTGGCCATTCTCCCCGCGGCACTTTCTACTTCTCTGCTACGTTCAGTCGTTTGTTGCAGCGATCCCATAGAACTCGCAGACCGTACTCACGATTGTGTGATTTATTAGGGAAGTAAGGTTACAATTGAGGATCAGGATCAACTTGGAAGTAACAGGTTTTCACTCAGGAGACAGAATGAGTTTTGTCGACCAGGACAGCTCTCACCTCCTCAGCCGTGCCCAGGGCAGGCCCTTCTCTCGGCCACGCTGGCCGACTGCTCCTTTTAGCCTCTGCCCTGCTCAGGCAAGTGTTACAAGTTGTGGCTCCACTAACAAATTCCTGGAGGTACCCCACTCTGCCAGCAAGCCTCCTGCCCGAAGGTGCCCAGCTATCTTTTGCTCTGCTGGCCAGCAGGCACCACTGCCGCTGTCTGCTGGTCCCATGGTTCTCACTGCTCTTACTGCTGCCGCTGTTTCTCCACTGCTGGGCTCTGCTGTGGTTGCTGCCATCTCTCGCTGTCTCCACAGCTCTAGACCCGTGTTACCGCTGTTTTAGGAGGTTCCCTCTCTCCCATGCTGCCTCTTTGAGAAACCCGTCTGGGGTTGGCTGCTTCTGTAAGCAAGCTCCTTATCAGGTGGGGCCCTCCCAGCCAGGCCACAAACAGACTGATTTCTGCAGGGTATCTTAATCCTACTGGGTAGTTTTATGCACCCTGTCTGCATAGCGAGAGTTCTGGTGGTGCAGTGGTTGAGAACTCAGCTGCTAACCAAAAGGTGGGCAGTTGGAATCCACCAGCCACTCTCTAGGAACCCTACAGGGCAGTTCCGCTCTGTCCTACAGGGTCGCTGTGAGTCAGCTCAATAGCAACAGGTTTGGTTTTGGGTTTTATTTGCCTAGTAAATTGACCAATTCCTGCAAGGTGTGTAAAATGGATCAATCAGGCTGCAGCCCAACAAATCATTTCTGGCAGAATTATCAGTCCAAGGCCAGAAAGGCCACATGTAAAGAGAAACCCACTGCAGCACGTTTTTACTGCAGGGGGCCTCACGGAGCCCCCGATGTCAGCCCCTGGCCAGGCCCCGGAGGCCAGCATGGGTGGGAGGGCTGCAGCCTCGGTCATCTTGCCCGCTGGGGTAGCTGAGCAGCATTTTTGGGAAGGACTGTGTCTGAGTCACCCGACGGTCAGCTGGGATGCTTCCTGCAGGGGCAGTGGGACCGACTGGAGGGCCACGGGGCCTCAGGTGTGTGCTCCCCTGGGGTGGGGAGTCCCCATGGGAAGTCCCCACCTCAGTGCCTGAGGGCTGGATGCTAGGAGTCTGTGGCGCAGGGTCTGCACCCCACAGCCCTCTCCCCTTGGCGGCCTTGTTGGAGCATCCACTCTTCCTGCCCAGCCACAGAGGAGCTCAGGAAGCGTGTCATCGATGTCAGAACCCGCCAGAACCAGTGGTGGGCATGCTTCTTGGTTCTTGGACACCAGTGGTGTCTGGGTGGGCAGGCCTGAGAAGACCCATGGCTGGCAGGCAGCTGCTGGCCAGGGTCCTGTGGGTGGTCACGGCCTTGTGGGGCAGGCAGCCGCCCAGAGGGGCCGTTTGCGTTTATGTTTATGTGATGTTAGGGCCCCCGGGACTGTGAATCTAGGGTGAGCTTCCCACTCTGTCTGCAGTCCTAGCCGCATGCCTGCTCGTCAGTCCGCACTGTGGTAGGGCCCCGTGTGCCAGGTAGGTCCACGGCCAGGCAGCCTCGGTCGGCGTGTGGCTGGGCGGCTGGTGCATGGTGGAAGCAGCAACGCTCTGGGCAGGGTTGAGGACGCATGTCCTGGCGTTGGTGAGTTTTCTTCGGACCCCGATGGTATTTTAATGTGTCTCTTGTGCTTAATTTTTAGTCAAAGTTTGAACCCGACCCAGGCGTCACTGGTTGCAGTGGATCAGAAGCTTAAGAGCTTTGGTACGAGACAAATTAAGGACATGGAAATAAGGATCCAGTGACAGGACGCTATTCTGCCTGGGAGTTCTGAAGATAAAAAGCTTTGGAAAGGCGAATTCATGGTCGTGGAAACCGAGCGCATTTTAGGAAATGTCAGGTTGGTCGGGGCTCCTGGCGCTTGAAATCAGCTGAAGACCAGTCTGCAGAGACATAAAGGGACCTGCCTCAGGGACTGTGTGCATTTCTTTAAAGTCCAAACCCCGGGTGGCACAGTTAAGTGCTGGACAACCAGTCAAAAGGTTGGGGATTCAGACTCACCCGGAGGCGCCTCGGAAGACAGGCCTGGCGATCTGCTTCCGAGAGGTCACAGCCTTGAAAACCCTACGAAACAGTTCTACTCTGCACACATGGGGTCGCCAGGAGTTGGAATCAACTTGATGGCCACTGACGGCAAAACCCAAACGACGCGAACTTTCTTGGAGGAGGCCCAGAGGAGGTGTCCTCCCCTGCTTAGCAATCCTGGGCCTGGCGTGCGGGTCACCAGTTGTTCTCCTTGCGGTTAGTTGGTCAGTGGGTTCCCCTTGTCCTTCCTACCAGTATGTGTGCAGTGGCGTTTGGGTAAATGACTTCCGACAGAATGAGCGTCTCTGTTTCTGGACAGGAAGCTCTGGCCCCCGAGGGCTGCCCAGCATCAGCTGACTCAGCTCAGCCCTCAGCTCCTACGACGGTGGCTTGGTCGGGTGTCTGCGTAACGTTGTCTGCTGTGGGTGTGTCTCTGTCGAGAGCGTGTCTCTGTTGAGGGCGTCCCGAGACGGGTGCTGGGCCAGGCTCAGGCCAGGCTGCACGTGGAGTCAGATGAGGGTGGGTCCTGGGGGCTGCATGGGGCCCCAGTGGAAACGCCAAAATCCACGGCCGGCCGTGCGGGAGGGGCCAGTCTGCAGGCCAGCACCGTGCTTGTTTTCTGTCCGTCAGTGCTCGTAGGTACTCACAGTCCACTGAGTGTAAAAACAGCCTGGGTTGCCATGTGGCAGCTGGGACTGACCCCCTTGTGGGGCGGTGCCGACGGGAGGCCTAGCCCCTCACCGAAGTGTGACCCAGAGCCCCATGAGGGTGCTTCCAAGCCCGCTTGGCACAGCAGGGGCCAGGAGAAGCCGGGGCAGCTCCGAGGGGTGGGCAAGAGGAGGTGGCGGGAGCTTGGTGCTAGGCAGTGTGTTCCGGGGCGCCCTGTCCGGTTTAGGCGAGGAAGTCAGCTCAGAGAGGTTACCTGCCAGCCCACCCCTCTGAGGCCTCCCGGCCCAAAGCCTACCCTCCTGGCCGAGAGCCTGCCCTGCCGGCCCAGAGCCTGTCCTCCCGGCCCAGAGCCTGTCCTCCCCGAGGTGTTCCAGGTGCCGCAGGGTCTGCCTGTCCTTCCCGAGGTGTTCCGGGTGCCGCGGGGTCTGCCTGTTCTTCCTGAGGTGTTCCGGGTGCCGCGGGGTCTGCCTGTCCTCCCCGAGGTGTTCCGGGTGCCGTGGGGTCTGCCTGCCCTCCCTGAGGCGTTCCGGGTGCTGTGGGATCTGCCTGCCTACCAGCCAGGTCCCCGGGCCCATCTTGCCAGATGCTCACCTGGGCAGTGGTTTTGAACTGTTTGGTCTCAGGGCCTCCTTTACATCCTTAGCGGTGATGGAGGACCTCAGAGAGCTTTTGTTTATACGCATTGTATCTGTTGGTGTTTACCTCATTAGAAATTGAGATAGCGATGCTTAAAATACATACGTATTTATCACTTCACTTAAAATAGCAAGAATAAACCCCATTCTGTGCTAAAATAAGTCACATTCCTTAATGAAAAATAATTGTTTTCCACACGACAGTCAGTGAGGAGCGTGGCACTGCCTGGCATGTTTGTAAACTTCCTCACTGTCTTGCTTACTAGACAGCAGCTGGGTTCTGTCTGTGGTCAGCTCGTGCGCTGTCACCACCAGTGGGCTCTGGGGGCGCCATTGCTTACGCAGGAGAGCAAGAGCGAAGGGCCGGCTGTGCAGGTCTTGACCTTGCAGGCCCTGGGGCAGCCCCGCCCTCACTGCCATTGGCGGAGGTGGTGGATAGATGGCCTGGAACGCGTGGCCCCACGGCCAGCCCCAGAGCCTCCCTGACCCCCGACCCCGCTGTCTCCAGGGTCTTAGAGCAGCTTCCTACTGTTGGGACTTGAAGTGCGTCAGAGTGACAGCCAGGCTTCCCCGCGGTAGCGCATGTGGTGACCGCGTCCTGCACGGGCACGCACCTGGCCTCGCCACCACGGCTCCTGTTTACCTTGATGCGAGGTTGCAGTGAGGTGCGTCCTGTGTTCCTGCCATTAGCTCTGAGAAAGGCAGCTGCTTCTCTCCACGGACCCGCTGGCCAAAGGTGGTAGAGGAGCTAATTCCCCTGGTCTCCCCCACCCCCTGACCTCCTCCCCGGCCCTGCGCCGAGCCTGCGACACACCCCAGGTCAGGAGTGGGCACGGAAGACGGACCAGGAGTACAGGCCCCTATAGGCCGTGCCCGGGGAGCCGGCACGTCGCCCAGGCCCTGGGTTTCTAGCCTGTGCCCTCACTGCTTGGTCCTCTTGGACGAGTCTTGCTTTGGTCTCAGCTCTGCCACTGACCAGCTGAAGTGCAGCCGGGCGTGGCGGTGCCCCAGTGCCCTCTGCACCCAGCACGTGTGGTGACTGTGGAGGCCTCCTTTGTCCATGGAGGCCTGTAAATGAAGGCTGGTTTTTGTGAGCTGCTGTCCAGTCAGCCCGACCCATGGCACCCACGCACAACGAAATGAAACACTGCCTGGTCCTGCACCATCCCCATAATCAGTTGTGGATCGGACCGTTGTGATCCATGGGGTTTTCACTGGCTGATTTTCGGAAATAGATGGCCAGGCCTTTCTTCCTAGTCCCTCTTAGTCTGGAAGCTCTGCTGAAACCTGTTCAGCATCCTAGCAACACACAAGGCTCCCCTGACAGATGGGTGATGGCTGCGCGTGAGGTGCATTAACCAGAAAACCAAACCCGCTGCCGTCAAGTCGATTCCGACTCATAGCGACCCTACAGGACAGAACAGAACTGCCCCATAGGGTCTCCAAGGAGCGGCTGGTGGATTTGAACTGCTGACCTTTTGGTTAGCAGCTGAGCTCTTAACCACCATGCCGCTGTGAGGCGCACAGTTGTGTCCTCTTGGGAAGGAGTGGATTTTCATCCTTCCTCATCCTGTTGTGGGATGGTGAGAGGTCCTGCCTGTATTTTAGTGTCTTCAGCCCTTGCCTACCTTGTCTTTGTCTGTTACACTTTCTGATCTACACGTGGAAGTCATGCCAGGCGCGTGAGAGATGCTAAAACATGCATCTTCACCGTCAGGGACTCGGGCAGCTGCGCTGTAGCTAGAGAGGTGACGGGGCCTTTTCCTAAAGCCTGTCACATTACAATCTCATCTTTCAGCGCCACCAGCTGTGACGAGCCTGCTGCTAGGATAGAGCAAGGGGCCACAGCCCCCTCGCCCGGCCCTGCCTGTCCGTGGGCTGTACGGCCTCCCCACCCTCTCTCCATCACAGAGCTACTGCCTGGTCCCCACAGCCCTGTGCCCTGTGGGGGCCGTGATGGTCACCACTCAGGTGACAAGAAGCTGTAGTACACCCACCGGTTTGCCTTTGCCGCCGACATAATTCACTTTCTAAAGTACCCACCTGACTGGGCGTTTAGAGCAGAACGTCCTCAGGAGGCCAGCTCTCGTCAGCCCACGTGGACAGCAGGCACTCGGTGTAGGCAAGGGTTTAGCTGGGGGAGCAGACTGCTGCAGGAGAGCTGAGTGTCCCCTCCTGTCGTTCCAGGCGTCCGACCTCCGATCATGAACGGGCCCCTGCACCCCCGGCCCCTGGTGGCGCTGCTCGACGGCCGGGACTGCACGGTGGAGATGCCCATCCTGAAGGACGTCGCCACCGTGGCATTTTGTGACGCGCAGTCCACACAAGAGATTCACGAAAAGGTAACGACGTGGCGCCCCGTGTCCTGGTCGGCTAGACGTTCGCGTGGGAGTGAGGAGGCTGGACAGGGTGTGTGAAGTGCTGCGCCCCTCTCAGGCCATGGGTATGCAGGTGCTTAGAGGTAGGGGCTCAGCCAGCTCCCCGGCCCCCTGCACGGTTTGCACACCTTTCAGCTCCCGTACTGCTGAGTGCTGCCTGGGACTACAAAAGCCTCTGTCACCATCACCCTGGTCCCATCAGGAGGCAGAGACTTGGTTTACTTTTCTTCTATAGCTTCTTGAATCATTTTTCATTATAACCAATATTGTTTTCCCCCAGAAAGTGGAACCTGGGGATATTGAGTTATTTTCCTGGATGCTGTAGAGAGCACGGGAGGCTGGCTGTGATGCGCTGGGTCCTCCTGGTCCCCAGGCAGCACTTAACCGCTGCATGGGGAGGTCTGAGCAGTGACCAGTGACATCCCCCCACCCCAGAGCTTGGAGTCAAGTGGTTTGCAGCTTTTGGGCAGCTTTCATGATTTATGTGTTTGTTTAGGAGATTTATAGGGTTTCCCCGTTGATGTAAACTGTGTTAATCTGGTTTTCTACTTCTCATAATGGCAGACTAAGTAGTTAAGAACAATTTTGTCACTGAACAGCCAAGAAAACGGGATGAAATTTAAAAAAAAAAAAATCTGAAAAGCACCCAAGAGCTAACAGGATAGAGCTGAGATCAGGAGAGGCTCAGAATCCGGAGGAATGAAGGGGCTTTGGCATTTTTGGTTTGAGGGTGTTCATTCTTCTGGAAGAGGCAGCTGAGAAGCTGAGCTGTGCTTTTGATGGCCTCATGAGGCTGGAGGCTCGAAGGGTGGCATTTGGGGCCATGGCTGGCTCTGGGCTGAGATCCAGAAGGATGCACCTTGAGAGTAAGGATGAACTGGAACCAAGCCTGCTCTCACACAGCCTACTACCCAGCTAGTTAACATCTATGTTAAGCCTTGAACTTGGTTATAGGTGACTCTGGATCACTGGCAAAAGCAAATAGAGAGTCCTTTTTGCAGGAAGATAGCATTGGCCTAGGCCTCATATTACTTCTGCAGATCATTTTCAAGTACAGTGTCCATCACACAGTCAAAGATAATCAGGCAATCAAGTTGCTGCCCAGTGGAAATGAACAGAAACAAAAGATACCAGAAGCAGGTCCACAGGAACCCCAGGTGTTAGAATTATAAGACATGGACTGTGGGTAGTTACTGCCGTAACCAAGTCACTGTCTGTCATAACCCAAGAAATAAAAGCCCAACTTGGAAATTTACACAAGGAACTGATAGCTGCATAAAGTGACGTGTCTGATTTGGGAAAAACAGAAAACTTAGAGCTGAGAAATACTAAAGCTGACGTCAGGGCAGACCGGCGAGGGACCGTGGGGCTTGAAGACGACATGGCGGTGAGTTCCCTGGGCTTTCTTTTTGCCTCAGTATCCTGCTCTTGGAGCCAGAGAAGCAAGCAACCTGAAAATGCCAGCGAGGGCAGAGAAAAAGCCCCAGCCAAAGCCTGCTCTTCAGCCAGCGGACCAGGAAAGGGGCAGCTTTGCAAGACACAAACTTTTAGACAGTAACTGCTCTCCTGCTGCCAGGTACCACCGGAAACACTTGTGACCCCATCCCCCCGCACCCCCCCCACGACAGCAGAGGCTGAGCAGGGAACCTAGACTTCCACCCTTGTGAGAGTGTACCGGGGTGCCCCATCTTCCCCACTCGTGTGGTGTCAGAGAAGGCCAGCTGGAGACCTCGGGGCTTTCACCTCTGCAGTTCTATAATGAAGCCCTTCCATGGTGTCAGTGGAGACCACGTGGGAGCCTGGACCACCCCCACCCGGCAGTCACGTGACGTCCTTTCCCTCCTGCTGGGGTCCTGTCAGAGGAGGCCTAATGGCCGTCGGGACTTTCACCACTGCTTAGGGGCAAGGAGGCCACCTCCTCTGCGGTGTCAGTGGAGACCACGTGGGGAATCAGAATCCCTGTCCCCGCCCACCAGCAACAAGGACTCCCCTCTCCTCAGGTGTCATTGGAGGTCAAGTGGGGAACCTGGACTTCTGCTTCCACTTGGCGGTATTCCTCCTCCGTGTTTTATTGACTGTGCAAAGGCATTCTACTGTGTGCATCATAACAAATTATGGGTAACATTGGGAAGAGTGGGAATCCCAGAACACTTAACTGTGCTTATGAGGAAACCGTACTTAGACCAAGAGGCAGTCGTTCTAACAGAACAAGGGGATACTGTGTGGTGTAAAAGTCAGGAAAGGTGTGTGTCGGGATTGTATCCTTTCACCTTACTCTGTATGCTGAGCAGATAATCTGAGAAGCTGGACTATATGAAGAAGAACGGGACATCAGGATCGGAGGAAGACTCACTAACAACTTGCAGTATGCAGATGACACAACCTTGCTTGCTGAAAGTGAAGAGGACTTGAAGCACTTATTGGTGAAGCTCAAAGACCACAGCCTTCAGTATGGATTACACCTCAACACTAAGAAAACAGAATTCCTCACATCTGGACCAATAAGCAACATCATGATAAACGGAGAAAATATTGACGTTGTCAAGGATTTCATTTTACTTAGAGTCACAATCAACGCCCATGGAAGCAGCAGTCAAGAAATCAAACGATGCATTGCATTGGGCATATTTGCTTCAAGAGACCTCTTTAAAGTGTTAAGAAGCAAAGATGTCCCTTTGATGACTAAGGTGCGCCTGACCCAAGCGATGGTATTTTTAGTCACCTGGTATGCATGCGAAAGCTGGACAGTGAATAAGGAAGACCAAAGAAAAATCAACACCTTCGAATTATGGTGTTGGCGGAGAGTATTGAATATACCATGGGCTGCCAGAAGAACAAAAAGAATTACAACCGCAATGCTTCTTAGAAGCGGGGATGGCAAGACTTCTTCTCACATACTTTGGACTTGTTATTAGGAGAGACTAGTCCCCGAAGAAGGACATCGTGCTCGGTAAAGTAGAGGGCCAGTGAAAAGAGGGAGACCCTCGAAGAGATGGACTGACACAGTGGCTGCAACAATGGGTTCAGCCATAACAAGGATTGGGAGGCTCGCACAGGAGTGGGCAGGGTTATCGTGTTGCACATAGGCTCCCTGTGAGTCGGAACTGACCCGATGGCACCTACCAACAACAACATAGTCAAGACAGGAGGCGCCCTTGTGGCACAGAGGTTAAGAGCTTGGCTGCTAACCGAAAGGTCGGCAGTTCGAATCCACAGCCACTCCTTGGAAACCCTATGGGGCAGTTCTCCTCTGTCCTGTGGGGTCACTGTGAGTCGGAATCGACTCGACGGCAGCAGGTTTGGTTTTTTGGTTTTGGTTTACAATCAAGACGAGACACCCTGGTGGCGTGGTGGTTAAGTGCTTGGCTGCTAACCAAAAGGTCGGTGGTTTGAACCCATCAGCAGCTCTGCGGGAGAAAGATGTGGCAGTCTGCTTTCGTAAAGATTACAGTCTATGAGTTGGAATCAGCTCGACAGCAGTGGCTTTATATAGCAGAGTAATAGACGTACAGATCAGCAGAAGAGAACAGAGAACCCAGAAATAGACCCACTTAAGGGAAACCCTGGTAGCGTGGTGGTGAAGAGCTATGTCTGCTAACCAAAATGTCGGCAGTTCAAATCCACCAAGCACTCCTTGGAAACTATCAGGCAGTTCTCCTCTGTCCTATAGAGTCCCTGTGAGTCGGAATTGACTCGACGGCAACGGGTTTGAAGTATGCCCAACTGTTTTTTGACAGATTGTTTGCAAAAAACAATTCAATGGAGGAAAGGTAGCCTTTTCAACAAATGGTGCTGGATCAGTTGGACAGCCAGCTAAAAACCAAACCTTGACCTTATACAAAAGTTACTTCAAAATGGGCCGGAGACTCATATGTAAAACATAAAACTATAAAATCTTTAGAGACTTAAATGTAAAACTTAAAACTATAGAATCTTTAGAGTAAAACATAGTAGAACATCTTTGAATCTAAGGCTAGGCAAAGAGCCCTTAGACATGACTCTAAAAGCACAGTTCGTAAAAGGAACGATTGTTAAATTGGACTTTATCAAAATCAAAAACGTTCACTCTGCAGAAGACCCAGTAAGAGAGTGAAAAGACAGGCTATTGACTGGGAGAAAATATTCAGAAACCACGTATCTGACAAAGCACTGGTATTCAGAATATACAAAGAATTCTCAAAACTCAACAGGAAAAAAAAATGCAGTTAGAAAATGGGCAAAAGAAATGAAGAAACATTTCACCGAGGAGGATATACAGATGGCAGTAGCACATGAAGTGATGTTCGCCATCATTAGCTGTTAGGGAAATGCAAATGAAAACCACGGTGAGATATCACCACACCATCAGAATAACTAACAACACAGTGACGACAGCAAAGCCTGAGGAGAATGTGGAGAAACTGAGTCACTCATGCGTTGTGGGAATGCAAAATGGTGCAGCTGCTCTGGAAAACAGTTTGTCAGTTCTTACAAAATTAAACGTACAACTATGATACGGCCCAGAAATGGCCCTCGTGGGCATGTAACCCAGAGAAATGAAGACACATCTTCACACAAAAAACCGTACATGAATGTTTATAGCAGCTTTACTTTGGGATAGCCAAAAACTGGAAACCACCCAGATGTTCTTCAGTGGGTGAAGGGTTAAACAAACTGTGCTACATCTGTGACGTGAAATATTATTCAGCAATAAAAAGTAACAGGCTATGTTTACATGGGAATTGTGCTGAGTAAAGAAACCAATCTCAAAAAGACATATAAGGTATGATTCCATTTATGTAATGTTCTTGAAGTGGCACAGTTATAGAGTTGGAGAACAGACTAGTGCTTCCCAGGGGCTCAGGAGGGGGTGAGAGCAGGAGGGAAGTGGGT